GGGCAGGATGAACACATGGAGCAGGATGAACACATGGAGCAGGATGAACACATGGAGCAGGATGAACACATGGAGCAGGATGAGCACATGGAGCAGGATGAGCACACGGGGCACAGGGACATGCCCTGCCCCAGGGGCAGTGAGGGGGGGCCCGGGGGGCTCCAGCAGCCCCTCAGCCAGGGCTGGGGTCCGAGCTCTTGGACACGGAGCCCCCCAAGCCCCTGGGCTGCCCTGGGAGCCCTGGGTTACCAGCAGGCGCTGGGCTGAGCCCGCAGGAGGGGTGCCAGGCGTGCTGTGGGCACAGCTCACCTATGAGGGCCACCTTGCTCTCCTTCATGGAGTCCACGACGCGGTCCAGCTTCTCCTCGGACGCCGTGTTCTGCACCTCGCTCAGGTGGTGCTCGTCGAACACCACGGGGACACTGGCAGCCTGGCACAGGGAGGGAGTCACCGGGACCCCTGGGGACGTGGCACTGCCCGGGACAGGGGGGTCTGGCAGCCCTGACCCAGCCAGGCCCCGCTCAGGGAACTGGGATCACGGAAATCTGACCCGGGACCTCGGGGTCGCTTCAGTCCCAGTGGAGCAGTGACACTGATAAAATCATGGAATATTTACGGTGGGAAACACCTCTGAGATGCCCCCAGCACTGCCAAGGCCACCCCTGACCATGTCCCCAAGTGTCACAACCACTGGGTTGTTAAATCCACAACACTGGGGTGTTAAATCCTCCCAGGGATGGGGACTCCCCCCTGCCCTGGGCAGCTGTGCCAGGGCTGGATAGCCCTTTCCAGGAGGAATTTCCCCAGTATCCAACCTAAATCCCTCCAAGGCTGGTGACCACCCCATGCCATGGGCAGCCTGTACCAGGGCTGGAGAGCCCTTTCCAGGAGGAATTTTCCAGCTGTGTAACCGCTGTGGTGCCCCTTGGCTGTGCCCGTGGCAGGACTCGTGTGACAGACAAGGGACTGCTCCCGAGTGTCCCTGAGCTCGGCAGTGAGGACACAGGCCCCAGGACACCCAGGGACACCGGGCAGTGCCAGCCCTGCCCCGGGGACAGCAGGAGGGGCTGTGGGGCCGGGCTCTGTCCCGGGCAGGGTCCTTACCTTGAACACCTCCTTGACCGCGTGCATGAGCTCCGGGCCCACTCCATCCCCCGGGAGCATCGTCACCTGGAATGTGCCCTCGGCCTTGGCATTCTGGGACTGTGGGGACACGGGAGGGTCAGGGCCAGGGGACCCCCGACCTGCCCACGGGGAGCTGGGAAGGGTCACCTACACCAGGGGCAAAACGTCCCTCCCCCAGCACACATCTGCTGTGGGCACAGGGACACAGGGGTCTTACAGCATCATGGAATGCTGGGCTGGAAAAGCCCCTGAGCCCCCCAGCACTGCCAGGGACACCCCTGACCGTGTCCCCAAGTGCCACATCCACAGGGTGTGAAATCCCCCCGGGGATGGGGACTTCCCCCTGCCCTGGGCAGCTGTGCCAGGGCTGGACAGCCCTTTCCAGGGGGAATTTTCCCAATATCCAACCTGAGCCTCCCCTGGCACAGCTGGAGGCCGTTCCTTCTGATCCTGTCACTTGTTTTTTGGGAGCAGAGCCCAACCCCACCGGCTCCCCCCTCCTGTCAGGGGGTTGCAGAGCCAGAAGGTCCCCCCTGAGCCTCCTTTTCTCCAGGCTGAGCCCCCCCAGCTCCCTCAGCTGCTCCTGCTGCTCCAGCCCCTTCCCAGCTCCTTCCCTGGACATGCTCCAGCCTCTCAGTGTCCTGTGAAGGGCCCAAACCTGCCCAAGAATTGGGGGGGTGACCCCCCCCAGTGCTGCTCTGCCCTGTCCTGAGGCCACCCCAGGGTGACACCTGAGCACAAGGGACACCCGACACCCCAACCCTGTGCCAGTGGAGAGACCTTTTCCTCAGGCAGCACTTCCTGAAATAGCCTCTCCCTGTGCCCAGCAGGATTTCATGAGCTGCCAGCAGGTCTGGTGCTCCTGACCCTTCCCATGGACCCTCCCCCCTCCCCCTGTGCTCCCACAAACTCATGGATTTTTGCCAAACACGAGTTTTGTGGCCCAGGACCCAAATCAGCCCCACAGATAATTCCTGGGTCGTTCCACACCCACCCCTGTGCCCTCCAGAGCTGTCTGCTGTCCTGACACCCTCCTTCCACTGCTCCCACCTTCCTCAGCCTGGAATTCCCTGCTCAGAGCTGGGATCCAACATGGATCTCCCAGATCCAGCATCAGGGATCCACAGGCAGGGACAGGGATTTACCCACAAGAACACGAGGGGACAGGCAGTGGGACTCCAGGATTCCACGTGGCCATGGGAAGGGGGAATGAAGGAGCAAGGGGGGACTGAAAGAGGAGTCACGAATTTGGAGCTTTAATATCCTGGGATCAGATTTCCAGAGCACACACTCGGCTCCTGCTCAGCCAGGAAATACCAGGAGGCAAAGCTGAGGGACAGGCAGGGCTGGGCCTGGCTCAAGGGCACGGGGACACCCCGGGCTCAGCCCTTCCCACAGGGATCAGGGAATCTTCTGGGTGGGAAAAGCCTCAGAGACCCCCCAGTCCCCCAGAGCCACCCCTGACCATGTCCCCAAGTGCCACATCCACAGGACTGGGGCTGGGGTCTCCCCCCTGCCCTGGGCAGCTGTGCCAGGGCTGGACAGGAGGAATTCCAGGAGCAATTTCCCCAGATCCAACCTGACCCTCCCCTGTCCCAGCCCGAGGCCATTTCCTCTTGTCCTGTCCCTTGTTCCCTGGGAGCAGAGCCCGACCCCCCCGGCTCCCCCCTCCTGTCAGGGCATTGTGGGGAGGAGAAGGTCCCCCCGAGCCCCTTTTCCCCCCTCATCCCCCACTCCCACCCCCATTCCCACCCCACTGCCCCCCTCACCTTGGCCTGGGGTATCTGTGGGAGGGCGGCCGTGGTTCTCAGGCCCCTCCACCCCCCGAGGCTCTGGGCACGCAGGAGGCCCTGGGGGGGTCACGGGAGGGTCAGAGGTCAGACAGCCCCGTCGGGGGGTGCCCCCCATCCCCAAACACCCCCTGACCCCCCAGGCTGGGCTGACCCCCCCCACTCCCCACATGTTCCTCCAGCCCAAAGTAACCCCCAGACCAGTCACCCCCAAGGTGAGGAGACCCTCAGCCCGAACCCTCTCAAAAAATTAACAACTCCCCAAGTCCGACCCTCCCCAACCCGATCCCCCCAGCCTGAACAGCCCCCCCGAAATGACCCCCCCAGCCCTGACCTTACACCCCCCGCCCCACCCTGACCCCCCAGCCCAGACAGACACCCCCCGGCCCACACTGACCCCTCCGGCCCAGACAGAGCCCCTAAACCCGGTGTGACCCCACAGCCGGTGTGACCCTCTGACCCCCACAGCCCGACCCCTCTCTCCCCGGCCAACCCCCCCGTCCCTGTGCCCCCCGATGCCGCCCGCCGTGCCCGCACACCCGCTGTCCCCGCTGTCCCCGCTGTCCCCCCTCACCGCCGCCGCCCGGCTCGCGCCCAGCGCCGCCATCTTTGCGGCCCCACAATGCACCGCGGCACCGCGCGGCACGTGACCCGAGTGGGCGGGGCCGGGAGCGCTCCGCGGCGCCCCCTGGCGGGCAGGGGAGGGCACTGCGGGGACGGGAACCCCCGGGACCTTTGGGGACACCCCGGGATCCTTGGGGACACCCAGAGACCCTTGGGGAGACTCTGGGACCTTTGGGGACACCCAGGGACCCTTGAAGACACCCTGGGACCTTGGGGAGACCCTGGGACCTTTGGGGAGACCCAGGGACCCTTGGAGACACCCTGGGACACCAGGGGACACCCCGGGACCTTTGGGAACACCCCGGGACCCCTGGGAACACCCCGGGATCCTTGGGGACACCCAGGGACCCTTGGAGACACCCAGAGACCCTTGGAGACACCCCGGGACCTTTGGGGACACCCAGGGATCCTTGGGGACACCCAGGGACCCTTGGAGACACCCAGAGACCCTTGGAGACACCCCGGGACCTTTGGGGACACCCAGGGATCCTTGGGGACACCCAGGGACCTCCCCTTCCACACCCTCCCAGGCCCCACCCCAGGAACCCCCCCTGGAACCCCTCTTCGACCCCAGTGTCCTCCCTGAATGACTCTCACAGGACCCCTTTGAGGGTCCCAGGACCAGGGGACCCCCGGTGTCTCCCCAGGACCCCTTGGGACACCCAGTGACCTCCCCTTCCACACCCCCCCAGGGCCTGCTCCAGGAACCCCTTCTGGACCCCAGTGTCCCCCCTGAATGGGGTCTGTTGAGCATCTGAGACCAGAGACAGGAGCGGGAGCTCTTCTCTTTATTGAACCGGGAGGGAGGGGCCGTGGTGGGAGGGTGGGGGTCCCCCTGCCCCCAGGCTGGGGGTCCTGCACCACTTGTGGTCTCAGTGCCGTGTTTTGTTTCCCAAACTCGTGCTGGGAGCAGCTGCCAGAGGACACGGACACCTCGCTGCCATCCCCCTCCCCCGGGCACAGACCCCCGGGAGGGGGCTGTGAGGGGCTGGGGGTGTCCCTGCAGCCCCCCGGGGTCACTTCTTGAGCAGCTGTGCCCGGGCCCGGGTGAGTTTCTCGGCCAGGGCGCCGTCGGTGCCGGGGGAGCAGCGGGACAGCACCAGGTTCATCTCGGCCTCGCTCTTGTGCTCTATGGCCGCCTCGGCCGCCTGCTCCAGGTCCCTGGGGGCACCCACAGAGTGGGCACAGGGGGGGGGGTGGCACCCCACAGCCCCCCACAGCCCCCCACAGCCTGAGTCACCAACCCCCGTGGGGGCACACAGCTCAGGGTGCCCCCACAGCCGCCCCCGAGATCCCCAAACCCCCGGTGCTGCTGCACGAGGGACCCCTGCCCTGTGTGACCCCACGGCCCACGGCCCCCCCAGGGGCCCCCCAAACTCACCCCACGAGGACAAAGGCCTTGACCCGCTGCTCGGGGGGCACCCGGGGGGCGTATTTGCGGGCCTCGTACCGGTTGTGGTGCTTCACGGCCACCTCCACGAAGGGCTGGGAGGGCACAGAGAGCAGGGGGTGGAGAGAGGAAGGAGGAGGGTGGGAGGGCACTGGGGGGGTGCCTGGTGCTCCCCCACCCTCAAGCAGGAAAAGCTCTCACCAGGTACCCGATGGGCGACTTCTTGCTCTTGGAGAACTTCTCCATCTCCTCCCAGTCCCCCCGCGTGGCCAAGGCACTGATCTTCAGCCACCAGTACCTGGGCACGGGGGTCAGGGGGCTCATGCAGCTGAGAGCCCCCTCCCCCTCCCCCAGCCCCCCCCAGCCCCCCACACCTCTTGTCGGGGATCTTGAACTCCCGGTAGAGCTGCTCTGCCCGCTTGTGGTGCCCGTCCAGGATGAGGGTGGACACGGTGTCGTGCAGGGACAGGTCCAGGTAGGGCTTGTCAAAGTCCTCCTGCAGGTGCCGCTGCAGCCGCAGCAGCTTGATCTGCTCCTCGGTGGCCTGGGACACAGCAGTGACCCTGGGGTCCCTGTCCTGGCCTTGGGATCCCTGGCCTGTCTTCAGTGTCCCTGTCCTGGCCTTGGGATCCCTGTCCTGGCCTTGGGATCCTTGGCCTGGCCTCAGGGTCCCTGTCCTGCCCTTGGGATCCCTGTCCTGGCCTCAGGGTCCCTGTCCTGGCCTTGGGATCCCTGTCCTGGCCTCAGGATCCCCATCCCAGCCTCGATGTTCCTAGCCCAGCTCAGAGGTCCCCGTCCCAGCCCTGGGATCATCCCAGCCCCAGGATCCCCATCCCAGCCCCAGCATCCCCAGCTCAGCCCCAGAGTCCCATCAAAGCCCTGGGATCCCCAGCCCAGCTCTGAGATCCCCAGCCCAGCCCCAGGATCCCTAACCCAGCCCCAGGATCCCTAACCCAGCCCCAGGATCATGCCAGTCCCCAGGATCCCTGTCCCAGTCTCAGGGTCCCCATTCCAGCCCCAGGGTCCCATCCCAGCCCGGGAGTCCCATCCCAGCCCCTCACCTTGGCAGCGAAGTCGTTCCTGGCCTTGTTGAACTCGTCCAGGGCGTTCTGCAGGGCCCCCACACGGCCCTCGATCCGCTGGGACACGGCAGGGACGTGTCACCCCCACACAGGGACAGGGACACGCCGGAGGGGTGACATGGAGCACCCTCAGATCCCAACCCCCCCGGGTGGGCTCCTCACCTTCTCAGAGTAGCTGGAGTGCACGTGGAAGTTGCCCAGCTCCTGGTGGTTGTCGTCCTGGTTGTACAGATCCTTCAGCGTGTCCCGCTCCTGGTGCCGGCAGAACTGGGGGGACGGGGGGTCAGGGGTGGGGGCAGCACCCGGGGGGGGCATGGGAGGGCAGGGGGTCAGGGGGGGTCTCTCTGCCCTCACCTGCCTGTACAGGCTCAGGGAGGGTCGGGGGGGTCAGGGGGGTCTCTCTGCCCTCACCTGCCTGTACAGGCTCAGGGCCACGGGCTGGTTCTGCAGCGTCATGAAAAAGGTGCCACGGTTCAGCTCGTTCTTGAGGTGCAGCACGACCGTGTAAACTGGGGGGGACAGCAGGGTTTGGGTTTGGTTTTTATGCACCCCTCGACACCCCCCCAGATCTCACAAGGCTCTCAAGGGGCTTCTCCAGACCACAAAATCCTCGTGCCCATCCCCAAGCCCAAAATGCTCCCAAGGGGCTCCCCCAGACCCTAAAACACTCCCAAGGCCTTCCCC